ATTCAAAGGGCTGGAGACTGCCAGGAATGTGTGACAGCAGGTCTAGATTTTTCTCTGCCTGCAACAGAAGTGGAAGAGCCAATTGCTGTGTCTGTCCTGGTAAATGCTGTCTTTGTGTGGCAGATTTCAGTTGTAGAAGGAGCATACCCAAATGACCCTATGTTTAGGTTTTTTGGGGATTACAAAAAAAAAACAACCAACAAACAAACAAACAACACCACCCTGCATTTCATACTCTTTGCCTTCTCCCTTTGCTGCAGGACCAGTGTTTGCTCCTTGTCATTTGATCTTGCACTTACTCAGGTAACTTCCCATTCACTGACTCACCTGGCATATTATGAAGATGCGCACATCTTCTTGAACAGCAGCATCAGCCAGAGGCAGGTATTTGGCTAATTTGCAGACAGGGATTACACCTCACATCATTCTTGCTACAATTTTGATTGCAGCTGGACACTCGCAAGGCTCACCATTCCTTGTCCCTCATGGCCATCATATTCTCTAAGCAGTGAACTCCAGTAAGCCCTTTACATTGGCTACAAAGAGATTTTCTTTGCCAGCAAACACACTGGAATTTAACTTGAATTTTGTAATGCTTGCCTATGTCACAGTGCAAATGGTAAGAGAGAAAACAGTTTTTCCTCCTTAAATTATGAAATATAAATGATCTAGTGGTGTAGTCTATGTTAAATTAAACATTCTCAGAATCTTTCTTGGATACTGAAGCCATATGCCATACCATGACCTGACCTGTATTGATGATCACAGTGACTGAGTGCTGGTTGGAAATGTCTTCTGGAATGGTTTGACTCCCAAACTATGTTCATGGGTTGTTTGGCAGAGTGCTGGACACAAGCCAAAACATGTTACACCACTTTATTATTGTTTACTTTGCTAGATGAACATAAGCGATGCCCAGGAATTATCACTGTTTCATTTGCTGGTACAGATGCCCTCTGTGAATCTTTTGCAAGAGCAAAAGATGACCAAGTCAGCTTGGTAGAAAAGAAGTCCATCTATGTGCAGCAAAGCCTTGGCATCAATCTAAAAGATCTAACTCAGAGTTTTCAGAAATATTCCTTTTTGGGCAAGAAACTATCTTCACAATTGTTACTAAAAATAAAAAAACAAAAATCCTATGAACAGTTCAACCGAGTTGAACAAAGAAGAAATGAATAAAATGCTGACTGTCCCAGTTTTCCTAGCTCAGTTCTTACTTGTGGAACTATCAGCAAGCAGCAATGTGTAAAATATGACTTGTAGATGTGATTTCTTATGTACTAGAACATATGAAACGTTTAAGACTATGAAATAGTAAGGTAGTGTAGATATTGTGAACTGCTACTACGTCACTTCCAGGACAGTGTATGAAAACAATGAAAACAGCCTTGGTGACTGAAGAACATATTTTAACTCACATTTATGCATCATCATCTCTGCTAGACTGAAAACATTGCTTCTGTGATGTCAATGTTCTGACTAAAGGTAATGAAAGGGGGGTGTAAGTTTCAGAAAGCTACAGAAAAGAATGGAAAGCACAAGAATTAAAAATTAACACATCATAATGAATTACAGGGTGGTGGGGCTGGTGGGAGGCATAGATATAGGTATAAGGCATAGATTACTTTAAAAGGAAGAACAAAGGAAGAATAAAGCATTCAATTTGCCATTGAAATAGAAGGTTCAATAAATGCATGTGATAAAATTTAATCTGAAAAAAAAAAATAGGGGAGGTTTATACTATAAACTTTGCTACAAATTAATCCCAAGGAGATGACTGAAGTTAGTACGAGTCTATTAATTTAGCTATTATGGTTTTACAGTTTGCATCCCTGTGACAAGGGAGACACCAGGGAATTGCTACACAGAGAAAAAAATGTTCTATGGGAAATCTCAACTGTCTGCAAATGCTGAAACAGCTCAGGTCAAGTGGTGATAAATAATTTAAAGAAACCACTGTGGAAGTGTCACTTCAATTTTCCATTAACAGATCTAATAGATTTTAAACTTTTCTGACAGGTAATTGCTGGATGAAATCATACTTTTGTACCTTTGTTTCATAATATCATTTGCTTACTCATGCATTTTATACAAAACTTGGTGTTGGCACAGACATTGTTTCATATGCCCATCGATTCTGAATAGCCCATGTTATATTGACTTCTAAAATAAATGGTAAGTGTGCCAGTTTTGACTTTTAGCAAGTCAGAAAACCTGTTGTGTGTTACCTGTGAAGCGCCAAGCAGAAGGGACATTCTGTGTCGGAATTTAATACAGCATTGTTCTCATATTTTCACATCAACAGATTCTCTGGCAGAAATGACAAACAGAGCTTTACACGCTGTTTTTAACAGGGGGATGTACTCCATCTGAAATTACAATGAGGAATAGATCTTGCTGTATTTATTTATCTCATCGATTATTTTCTTTGGACAGTTGGTGAACTCTGAGCTCTACTCTGGCAGTATTGGGTCTTGGAGAAGAGTTATGTAAAAAACAAGTGAAACCTCGATCTTGTAATTGTTTTATTTTGAAATCCATGGAAACTCCGTTCATTTTGTAAGAGCACCAGAAAACTAGCCTGCAACTAACTAGGGATTTTCCTTAAGCATTCATTGGAGGCTTAAAGATTAGTTATAATTTAAAGGGAAAAATGTTGGGACTTAACAGTACTTGCAGTTCTTATGGCTTTGTTTTCAATCCAGTCATATTCACATAAAATCAGTGGAAACACATTTAGGTCCAAAATGACTCTTATCCTTGCTCTATTGAGGCTGATGAGCTATAGACATTGACTTGTACAGAACCTAAATTTTATTGAAGTTTTATCCCACAGGGCCTTGCACCATAACACACCTCTCTAAAGGAGAACATAAGATGGTATCAAATAGAAACACTGCGTTCTCTTTATAGGGATAATGCCACATGGGTACCTTCTGGAGACCTTGGCTTCTCCTTCAACTGGGATTGCCTTCAGCAGAGCTGATAGTACTCCTTACGGTGTGACTGAGTGGGGGCTGGATGTACTCTGAGTTGCACAGCTGTGTAAAATGCGGTCTGCAAAACATCATTAGGAATATTAAAATTCATAAGTGAAAGGCTGTCTGTGAGAGATGCATAAGCACATTCATTCATGTGTACTTTTTGCCAGTTTCAGAAATTTGACAGGTTTTTAAAAGTCAAATTTTTCATCTGAGCCTGATTATAAATACTCCGACTTCTCCTGTACATCCTTTCTGCCCAATAAAATATATATAGAAATACTGCTTTTTGCCAATCTTCACAAATCGGGATCTCTCTTATCCAAGTCTGAATAAATGTTAAATGTAACTGTAATTCACAGTTTCTCTGTTAGCAAATTTACCTTTGATCTTCTTTTCAGGGAAATGAAGGTACTGTGTGAACAATCTGGTACTTAATGAGAAAATCTTAAATTGCAATAGCATTTCTGTACCTCACTAAAAGCACTGTGATAGATAATTCAGTCTAAATACTTTAGCAGTGCTTTTATTCCAAATACGGGTTTAGCAATACAAGCAATACCAGAGCTGTTTGTTACAGAAACAAAGCTATATTTGATGTTGTTTCTCTATTTTGATGTTTATTTGTTAGGTAATGAATAGACTAAAAGTGGGAACAAAGTGCTTCCTTACCTTACATTTATAAATACACAATTGCCTATGGAAGAGGCTCCCTATCAGCCAGGAAAGGAGAAAGCAATGTGCTTATGTCCCCATTTAGGAGGCTGAGGCTGTGCGAGGTAAATATTCACCAGATAGGCCACGACATTTTAGTTAGACAGAAGTGCATCTCTCTTGATGTCTTGGCAAGACATCTGGTTGCTCTCACCCTGCTCTCAGCCTAAATCCTAACAGCGCAGTGGGATCCTGGCAGTGCGTGTGCAGCTTGTTCATGTGGTTGCAGTCAGGTGATGGATGCCATTGCTCCTGCAGTAACAACCACTGAAACCTCCCTTCAGCTTGACCATTTTCTGGAGCTTTATACGAAGACTGCTACAAAAGCCATGCCTTCTATTTTATCCTGCAGGCCCTCGGTGTCAGAGACGAATGTTGCAGAAGAGCTGAGCCTTCCCATCAGTGCTCTGTCCCATGTTGTTGCTGTGCGACAGATGGCAGCACAGGGGCAGCGTGACAGAATGGCGTCTGACATGGAAGCATGCATGAAGCAAAGGGGTGTCACTGGATTCCTGTGACACTGGAATTGTCACAGGACAATTCATCAACACTGACATTCATCAACACTTGCAGAAGTACTGTCCAAACACTCTGGCTCTCCACATTGAAATACAGAAATTGAAATTGAAATACAGAGGCCGGATGGTTTTTATAGTTTGAAGTGAAACAGTCCCTGGGGAGGTGCCGTGCTGCTTTTATCAGACCTCCCAAAGGTACCAAGCAGGAAAGTCGTTCTGTGGCACTGCCAGATACCTAATTAATCCCTCGTTAAATAAAGACATTCCGTGATTAAATACCTTCAGAGCAATCAGTTCCGACCTGAAGTGCTTTGCATGTAAATGCATGCTCATCCCGGAGCTGCCCGAGGCTCGTGTGGGATATGAGGCGTTTGTGACAGACTTTGCAAACAGACTTTGCGGGGAGCTCAGGGCAGACAGCTAATTACCAACAGCGTTCAATCACCACGCTGCAGCTGCGGGGTGCCGCGGCAGCCCCCGCTAGGCGGGCCGGGACGGCGGAGAGCTTCACACCCCGCTTACCTGGCGGAGCCTCTCATTGGCTGCCTTTCGCCCCGCCCTCTCTGTTTCATTGGCCGGTCCCGCCGCCCCCTCACGTTCTATTGGTCCGCGCCTGATACCTGGAGGGGAGAGAGGAGCGGCTCCCACCTCCCCCTCATTTCCTCACCGCGCGCTCTCATTGGTGAATCACGCGGCGTGCTAGGCCCGCCTATTGGCTACTCCGCCGGCCGCTCACTTCGATTGGTCGGCGGTCGGGCGGCACCCCACCTCCCCGGGAGGCTGAGCGGTGCGTTCGGGCCGGAGAGTTGTCGGCGGAGCGGAGTTGGGGGTTGCCGCCGCTCGGCAGCGCGGAGGCGGCTCGCGGTGTCTCGGCTTCTGCCGGCCGGGCCGCGGGGATGGCCGCGTCTGGAGGGCCACGCTGAGCCGAGCGATCCCGCGGGGGCCATGCCACTGGCCGCCGCGGGAGGAGAGCCGGGCGGGACGGCCGCCCCGCCAGCGCCCGGCAGCGCCTGAGCCCGCGCCGTGCCCCGCGCGTCGCCATGGACGAGCGCTTCAACAGGTGGCTGCTGCCGCCGCTGCTGGCGCTGCTCTTCCTGCTCATCGTCTACCAGTACGTGTCGCCCGTCTGCCCCGGCGCCGCCTGCCCCCGCCGCCCGCCCGTCTCGGCCCCCGCCGCCCGCCGCGAGGAGCAGCCGGCGGAGCGGGACGAAGAGGAGGCGGCGGCCGCCCTACCGCGGCTGGAGCCCAAGTTCCCGTTCGCACGGGGGGAGCTGTGCCGGAGGGTGCGCTTCGACATGCGGGGCCGCGACGTGATCGTCTTCCTGCACATCCAGAAGACGGGCGGCACCACCTTCGGGCGGCACCTGGTGCGCAACATCCGTCTGGAGCAACCCTGCTACTGCCGCGCCGGGCAGAAGAAGTGCGCCTGCCACCGCCCGGGCGGCGATAAGGACACCTGGCTCTTCTCCCGCTTCTCCACCGGCTGGAGCTGCGGGCTGCACGCCGACTGGACCGAGCTCACCAGCTGCGTGCCCGCCGCCATGGAGCGCCGCGGCTGCGCCGGCAACCGCACGCTCAGGTCAGTGCCGCGCGGCGGGAGCGGCCCGGGGAGAGAACGGAGCTCCTGCGGAGCTGCTAGCTCTGGGTGCCCTCCTTCCCTTTTGCTGCATACCAGGCTTTCGTTTCTCTTCAAACTTCTGATAATCCCCCGCGTGTGCGGCCGCAGCGAAGGGAGCGAAGCGGTGCCCGGCTTTAAGGCAGGCTTCGTGCGGGGAGCCGCGCTGCTGCTCCGTGGATGTGCGGCCTCTCTGTGTGTTCTGTCCCGTGCTTCTGTCGGGTCTGGCAACGAGTCTTTGAGTTGCAAATGGAGAAATGGTCGAAGGGCAGCTCCACTGGGTACAGAAAATGCAGTGGGTTGCGAGCTTTGCTCTGGCTTATTTATCTTTAAGCTTTCCCAGGTTAATGTGAGAGATCCTGTCTTTACTTGTGTGATAGCTCCTGGACGTGTGTGGTAATGAGGAAACGGAGGTGTTCTCCGGAACTTTTACACTGTTAGCAATGTAACTTCAATATATGTAAAATACTTAAGAAAAATCCTACTTCCACTTCTGTAGTTTTTCAGGTAATGATTCGTTTTACCACCCGTCTTAATTTTGAGTCTGAAGACTTGATATTTTCAGAGGCACTGCTGACATATCATTTTGTGTGCGGTGTTGCAGAAACGCATGCGGCCCAATGGCAGACAGGGGCTTGCTTTCACTGGCCCCATGCGTCAAGAAGGTATCTTCAACTGCTCAGCCGCTGCCGGTTTATTTGATGTGACTGACAGCTGGCCCTCCTGTATTACAAAGCCAGACACATCTGGCATTATTCCAGTTAGCATAACGTAATTATGATTGCTGAGGACTTGGACTGGACTTGCAGGGTACAATTAGGACAACTCGTACAATTTATATATTTAAAAAATTCAGCTTAGGATAAAACTTTAAAACTTGCTAACAGGAGAAAAGCGCAGTGAATGTCTCAGAGTACAAAATAATTTAGTGGTAATCCTACAGCTTGAAGGGATATTGAGTAGTTGCAGTGTAAATCAGGGAAGGGAGGACAAAGAGCAGTGATCACAGCAATATCTGAGAGCATGCAGTCTGTCTCTGGCTTCCTCTCTTCCTCTGCTGTGGAAAATATTAGTAAGTAAATAACCAAGTGTTATTTTGAATCACGATAGCAGGTGGGAAGTAAAATTGGTAAAATAACAGGTCTTGTACTTTAAAATTAAGAAAAAAAAATATTAAATTAGGTCAATTTATAACTTTGAGTTGAATTACAAAAGAGGATGTGGGAGTTATTCAGTGGATTGTTAGTAATTATTCTGCTTGAAGGAAGACAAGTAGAGGCACCAGCTACAGCTGACAAGTGTTAATTTTTGTTCTTGTTTGGTTAGTGTAGCATCCTAGGTGAACTTTCTGGGAGGAAGTCCTGTAAATAAAGTTGTATCATTCCAGTGCTTGCTCCTTGTGTAATATATGCTGTGCTGGCACCTTTTACTTTTTATCTTTGCTTACTCCATATAGTCAGTTAGTGTGAGTTCAAGATTTTTCAGTGAGTTTTAAAATGAACCCTAAGGTATGGTTTGTCTCTGCTATGAATGCCTTTGCTGCTGGTGAAGTTGGAGTCAAGCCTAAAATACTTTGCTGGAGGACTGTACTATTAGAGGCATGGATTGAAGGCTTTTTAATGTATGAACTGCAAATTGAGCGCAAGGTGTCTGCATGCCTAAACTAAGCAAGCGACCATCATATGAGCCTAAAGTAGAGCACAGTGATTTAAAAAAAAATTTTTTTTTTAAAGTTGTCTTTCAAAGCTTTTGAGAATATTTGAGGCATTAGACTTCTTTGATTATACATATATATATATTTTTCTTCAGTGTTCCAGCTACAGAGTTAGAAAATTAGACTAATTCGGGTAAATATATGATACTGGATTTTCTTTGTGGGACAGTGGGACAAATCATATTACGTGTTTGATCTCTAGTATAATACACTCGATGCAATGAGGATGTATCTCTAACTTCCTTTTTTCCTTCATAGCAAGGTATAAACTGTTTGAGATCGCAACGTATGTAACATTAACTACAAATACAGATCTGTGTATTTTGGAAACTTGCTCCTTGCAGTGCTGGTAATAGTAATGTAAGTCAAGAGGAAACAAGTGAGAGCCTCATATAATCTTGTTTGATGTTATCAAGTATTTTATTTGCAGTTTTCTTAAGTCCTATCTTTCAACACAGGTATTTAGAAGAGTTGATTAGAAAAACTGTACTTAGAATTTGTGGGAGTGTGGACTGTGTGGTGGGTAGAGAAGGAATGGAAGATGGCCCAAAGGGTTTCTGAAGTATGTGGAGCACTACCTCTCCCTGGATTATTTCTTTTAAAAATACTGCTCATGAAAGAGATTTTAGGCCTGAAATCTCTTTAAGCTGTTGAAGGGACTTCAGTAGACAGCAGCTACCATTGTGGATCAGTGACTTTGAACTCCTTCAAGCCCAAGCACCAACTTTTAATTTTGATGCCAGTGGACTGTTGTATCTGTGATGCAATGATGCGATGATACAAAGTGTGTTGTGTCCAGCTTAGGTACTTCAGTGTTGTAGTGGGAATGCTAAGTGATGGCCTGAAACAGTGATTGAGCACCTGGAGAGAAGGCAGGTACAACCCAGGGGAGCTCAGATGCAAGCAGTGCAGCTGGAAGTGGTAGACCCAGGATCCACCTCCCAGACCTCATTTAAGGGTTGACAGTGGGGATGAGGGTATCTCTTGCTGGAGATCTTTACCTACCTGAGGCCTTCTGAAGGTAAGCTTCTCTTTTCCTTCATTTCTGACTCTGTGGCTGCTGCATTTGGGTTCATTCTCATTTGCTGTAGCCGGAGACTTTGCCACCCCGTTATTATTGTGGTACTTTCCATCCCATTTATAGTATTATAGTATTATAAGTGTGAGAAGATGTTTACTGATTGCACACTAGATGCTGTTCTAGTTTCTAGCGCTGAAGTATAGCTTTCACTTTACAGAAGTTGCTCTCTGGATATTGTGAAGAATATGCAATTGATACAGTTGTAAATTAAATTATTATTTGCAACTGAAAACTAAAGTAATGATTAGCATAATTAAAGCATTGTGACTTCTCTCACAAGGATGTGGTGGTGTTCACGGGGAGGTTTCTACATCAATATCCCCACATTTACTTCAGAGGAAATATATTGCTATATCCAGCATCTGTAACGTGGGTTATTTTCTTTGTCTTTCAAAAATAGCTGTTACAGTGGAAAGTAGTCGGTGCAGAACTTTGCAGCAGTGTGGAAAGGTGAGAGACTTTAGGCTGCCTCTTTAGGCAGTGGATAAACACAGCTCTGAAGGATCCTAGGTGTGATGGAGAGGCAGTTCTTCTCAGGGTAATACAACGGAAGGCTGGAATGAGAGTCTAGATATCAAAAACCTGATGAGGAGTGTTCCTTATCTGGGGCTGCAGTCGGTATTCCAAGATAATTGCCTCTCAGGTTACCAGATAGAATTTGGTGTATGTGGTAGGGATTGCTTTTTCTTTCCACTTTATGTATGGTAGGCTAAAAAGGGACCTTAAGACTTCTTATTAAGGCACACTTTCTCAGTTGTTTGTAATATCATTAATAATTACACATTGTTATTTATTATGAGTTTGAATGTAAGAGGAAGGTGACACTTTAAACCATACACTTGAAAGAATACTTCATTGAAACTTTTGTTGTCTAATTTTCTTATGAAACGGTGAAATTAGTCTAATTCTGTCAACCTCATGAGCTTTATTATTAGTACAGTAGAGTCTTCTGCAGTATTGATTTTTTTTCGTTCATTCATTCACTTGCTTATGCTTTCCTATTTGTAGAGTCTTTTAATTGTGTTACTGTGTGGAAGTATAAATCAGCAGTGAACACACAAGTTACAGAATTGGGGGAGGTAAATAGAAGCCAGCAGATTCATGTTTCTTCTGATGCAGTCGTATTGAGGTGTGTTGGTTTTTTGTTTTTTTTTTTTTTAAGGCTCTAACAAGAGCATAAGATGGACTCCTTCCTTTGCAGCCATGGTAACCATGATCATCACAAAAACGTAAGAGTGCTAATTAAAAATTAGGACTATGCTGAAGGTAGTGGGGAGAAGAGAATAAAAAGCTGTAAATGTTACTAGCATTGAACCTGGAAAAAAGCACAGAAATGCTCTACCACACCTTGGTGTCTTCTACTGAAGCGAATGTTAGAACCAGTGAGCCCTTATAGGTTTCTTTTCCTTCCCTTTTGTAAGCTTAAGGAATAGGAAGGATAAAAACTGCTTTGAGATCCTGCTGCTGATGCTGCAGACTTTTTTTTTTTCCTTGTGTTGGTCACTTCAGAGGAACCTTTGGTAATTCCTTCAAGGGTTTCATTGTCCTTCTTGCTAGAAGGTGGTGCTGTCTTCCCTCCAGTGCTTAATGTGGATCGTTTCTGAGGAACATAGAAGAAAAATGGATCCCTTTCTCTTCATTAGCCTACTGGGTGGTTTGGTTCATAGGAAGTCCTCTTTCAGCCTTCCCCTCTGAAAAAAAATAACCAAATCCAGCTCATCTTGTATTTCTTGTAGGTCATTTGTTTTGTTTCACTTCTTTGGATTCATGCCAGTTCTTTTCTTGAACTGCAACACTCCAGTGGGGGTACAATTTTTTCTTTTTCCTCTGTATATATAATACAAAGTAGAGCAGAACAGATTGTTTCATTTATTCTACAAGTTGTCTTTCTGGTTGTACAGTTACACTTGCCTGTTTTGCAGTTGTCTGATATTGGTTGTTCAGCTTGAAATTTAGATGCTGCTTCTTTTCTCGAAGGCTATTACTTATATTTCCCATCGTCTTTTTATACAACTAATAATTTCCACTTAATTGTAGAGGTTTATGCTCATCCCCACTGGATTTTACTCCTTTTCTGCCAGTTTACTTAATTTGCGAAATTGATCTGAGTTATAATTTGTCCTTAGCTTTACATCACGGGTTTATTTAAATGTGTTCTGTATTCAGTGG